AGAGAGTGGAGGGCGAGGCCGTGTCGGCGATGCACTTTGGGTTGCTGCAGGCGGGAACGCGCAAGGCCAGGCTCGAGGTCTCCAATGCGACGGCTCTGAGCTCGGCGGAGTCTGGCACGACCGGGGCCGCCACATCCAGAGGCGCGTGCACGGCGGCGGACAAGCAGAGAATGGATGAGCTGGGGTACGGAAACGATCGCAACAGCTTTGGCGCCCAGGTCTATGGCTGTGCGCGCCACAATGTAAACTGGATGCTGAAGGTGGATCTGGGCAAAATGGACGAGTGCCTCAAGACCACCGTGGGCCTCTCAGGCTCGTGCGCGACGTGCTTTTACCATCTGAACGAGCAGGGCTCGGAGCACTGCAAGACGCAGTGTATGAGCTGGTGCTCACAGCTCTGCCAGGACTGCAGCGCCCGGTACGTTTCGAGCGCCTGGATGGACAACTGCACGGGTTACGCCATTCCGATGCCGCCAGCGTGCCGCTGAGGTGACCCGCGAGGGCGGCCACGGGCTGCGTCAGGTGGCTCGCGTGAAGAGCAGGGCCCAGAGAGGGACAACAAGCAAAACACGCCAATGGATGCCAAGCAACGAAGCCAAGCAATGCCCAGCCATGCCAAGTGGCGCCAGCAGGTATCCAGCAGCGCTAACGCAGTGCAACAACCAATGCCAGGCAGTGACAAGCAACGGTTCCAAGCAGTGCCAAGCAGCGCCAAGCAGTGTCAAGCAGGGGCATCGGAGGCCTGGGCCCTCCTCCTGCCTCCTGCGCTCGACCTCGAGACCCAGCGCCGTGCAAACAAGATGTGGCGTCTTGCGGAAGACTTGCACCGGAGATTTGGAGCATGTCTTTCTGCCCTGACATCATCGCGCTTCGACGACGACTCGATATTGGTCACTTTCGGCCTCCCGGGGCCCCAACCGGCCCCAGTGACCGTCGAAAGAAGAGCCGGGCTGGAAAAAACAGTCCTGAGGCAGGGGTCCAAGCTTTTGGGGAGCCCCGCTGCGAAAAAGTTTGGCGCCTTCTCTGACGTGGAAGACATCCTTTCGCAAGTTGCCACCTTGGACACTCCCCTAGCGAACAAGTGGCAACGTTGGACACTCCTTCACAGGTCTCTGTCCAAGCATTGATAATTAAGGCATGTTCCACATGGCCTCTTTTTTTGTATCGGGGCTGATCATCTTGCAACCATTCTACAAACCCCGTGCAAAGAGCAACCTGTGTTTTTCTACGCGCACACACCCCCAGTTCCCCAATCCAGTGCGAAAAGCAACTGCTGTTTCTCTACGCGCCCCCTCCCCCACACCCCAATTTCAATGTTCAGTGCAGTGCCGTTTTGTTCATTCGAACTTCGCTGGTCGCGCGATCAACATTGAAATGGGAGGGCCGGTTGGCTCACCAAACACCAGTTGCTTTTCGCACGGGGTGGTGATCGTATTCTGATTCGTTGTTGTGCCGATTGGCTCGGGCCCTAGCCCCCCACCCTCCCCTCCCCATGGAGTAGGTTTGGGTGCCTCGCGCGCCTGCTTCGAGCAGGAGGAGTCTCCTCCCTTAGGACGCACTGCTGCAAACCGTCGCACTAAGCAGAGGTCCGGAGCCAGACCCCCCCCCTCCAACCCTTCCGCCCAAGGAGGAGGAGGAGGAGGAGGAGGAGGAGGAGGAGGAGGAGGAGGAGGACGCCGAGGAAGAAAACGTTCGTGCTGCAGGCCCACCGCGGGGGCGCGAAGGCGCGCGCGCTTCACGCGCCGCGGCCCGGGCCAGGGAGCCGGCCTTCTCGGGGGGGCGGCGGCGCGAGGGCCGCGAAGGCACCCACGCGCCGCGCGAGCCACGGGCTCCGGCGCGGCGCGGCGTCGGGGGTGGCCCGGGTCGCTCTGCAGCACCGCTTTGCCCCTCAGCTGCCTCGATGTGCTCGTGTTGATGGGCACGCAGTGCCCTCGATGCTCGTTCTGGGGGGGCCTCTTCTGGGGACCACCCGGCGGATCTGTTCGGCTCCAGCTCGGCTCTGGCTCGACTCTAGCTCAAGATCGACTCAAGTTCGACTCAAGTCCACGGACGCTCGACTCTGGCTCGACTCTAGCTCAAGATCGACTCAAGGTCGACCCAAGTCCACGGACGCTCGACGTAGCATCGATGCATGAGTGGAATTAGTGGGTCCAGGAAGTTCTCCAGAACGAGCATCCAAAGTACCGTGCTCAAAGCGGCCGTGTCAATACATTGCCATTGCGTGTTAGCTCCACCTCTTGGCCCACGTTTTGCCAAACGCCTTGCGTCAGACCCACGTTTTCAGGGTACGTCTTGAGCTCTGTATCAGTGCGCTACGTGTTGCGTGTTGCGTATCGGGGCAGCTGAGCTCGGCCCAGATCGACCTGTGAGGGTCCCGGGGGGCCTGAGACTGGTCGAGGACGCCTGGCGTCAAACAAAGACGCTGCGGCGCCTGGTTCTCAGGACAACTCCCACATCTACACAGACATCCAACGTCCAAGGGCGGGTGGTCTTCGTCGCGTTTGGCCTTGGGGGGCCTTCGCCAGGCCTCAGGATTGTCAACAAGACGACTCAGGACGAAAAGCGGGCCCTGAGGAGAGGGTCGGGGCTCTTGGGGATCGGGCAAGCGGTAATGGGGGGTGACCCAAGTGGGGGGTGAAGAAAAGGGCCCTAAAGGGGCCCTTTCGGGCCCCTTTTGGGCACCCATTGGCTGCAAAAGGGGCCCTAAGGGTCCCTTTAGGGTCTTTCTCTTCACCCCTCATGTGGGTCACACCCCAGTACCGCCCCCCCGAGGGGACCCCGTGTGGAAAAACAGGATGTCGGATGTCTGGGTGCTCCCGAGGGCTCTCTGCTCCCCATCCCCTGGCTGCCCTCTCTTGGGCCAGGTCTGGTCGGGCCGACGCCGCTTTGCCTCGCCTTGCCTCGCCTCGCCTCGCTTCGCCTCGCGGTATCGTGTCGAGTCTCGTCCTCCCCGTCCTCCTCGTCCTCCTCCTCCTGTTCCTCTCTTCCTCCTCCTCCTCCTCTTTCTTGCAGTGTTTCGGTCATTGATGTTGAACATCTTCCTCCTCCTCCTCCTCGCCCTCCTCCCTCCTCCCTCCTCCCTCCTCCCTCCTCCCTCCTCCTCCCTCTCCTCCCTCCTCCCTCCTCCCTCCTCCCTCCTCCTCCTGCTCCCTCCTCCTCCTCCTCCCTCCTCCTCCTCCTCCTCCTCCTCGCCTCCCCTCTCCCTCCTCCCTCCTCCCCTCTCCTCCTCCTCCCCTCCTCTCCTCCTCCTCCTCCTCCTCTCCTCCACGTCGTCCTCCTCGTCCTCGTCCTCGTCCTCGTCCTCTCCTCCTCCTCCTCCTCCTCCTCCCCTCCTCATATCCTTCTTGCAGTGCTTTGGTCATCGATGTTGAGCATCCCCTCCGCCTCCTCCTCCTCCTCTTCCACCTCGTCCGTCTCGTCCTCGTCCTCGTCCTCCTCCTCCTCATCCTCCTCCTCCTCCTCCTCATCTCCTTCTTGCAGTGTTTTGGTCATCGGTGTTGAACATCCCTCCTCCTCCTCCTCCCTCCTCCTCCTCCTCCTCCTCCCTCCTCCTCCTCCTCCTCCTCCCTCTTCCCCTTGACGCTGCCCCTGGCGCCTCTGCAGTGCGAGGGCGGCGAGGCTCCCGCCCGCGGACCCCCAGGCGGCGCTCTTCCACCCCCGAGAGGATGTGCGGGGTCCTGGGGGGCAAGCCTCCCGCGCCAAGGTCCGCGGTGTGACGGGCGGCTCGCGCCGGAGGCGGGCCCGGAGGGTGGGCCGCCAGGCCGTGCATCCCACCTCCGCCGCGCCCTGCGGCGGCCGTGCCGCGCGGCTCGCGGCGCCGGAGGCGGGTGCCAGGCCGCCAGGGTGTGACTCCTGTGAAGCCTGCTTCGGCCGCCGGCGCCTCCGTGCGAGCCGGCGCGCACCAGGTGCCCGACGGGGCCGCCGCCGAGGCCGCCGCGGGGCCGCCCTGCGCGGACGATCTCGTCCGCGCAGCTGGCGCCTCCGCGCGAGCCAGCGCACGCAGGGGGCTCGTCGGGGCCGCCGCCGAGGCCATCGCGGGGCCTCCCCGCATGGACGATTTCGTCCACGCAGCTTCGGCGTTTGACGAGGCCCGGAGCCTCCGTGGGGCGCAGTGTGCCGCGGCCTCGCCGGCTGGAGGCGGCTCCGACATGCGCCCGAAGAGGCATTACGGGAAGGTCTGCTGCACGGCGCGCCCACATCGTACAGGTGGCTGGCTGGATGCCAGCGCGAAGCCGCGTGCCCCGTGCGTGCCCCGCGCATGCACCAATCGGGTGGGGCAGTCCTCTGGACGCTCCTTTGGGGTGCCGCCCGCCACCCCGTTGCGATGGCCAGTAGGCCTCTGGGGTGGTTGGCGCTCGCACCGGGGTGGACCTTCCCCAAGGGCCCCCCTCTGCTCCACGCAGTCCAAATACGCAGAACTCCATCCTCCCTCCTCCCTCCTCCCTCCTTCCACCTTCTCCCCCTCCTCCCCCTCCGCCTCCTCCTCCGCGCTCTCCTCACGCGCCTCCTCCTCCAAGCATGGTGGCCGTCCCGACCAAACATGTATCCAGCATTGGGGCGAGAGCATGATTTCTGCATCAGTTTTGAGGGGCGGTCCCCGTTCCACCCGTGGGACTCTTCTGTGGTCCGTCCTTGTTTAAACTCCCGTAGACACGCTGACGGCGATGTAGGTAACGCCGATATAATTTCGATATTGCAGGATGGGGTGGTTCGTGGCCAGCCCATTTGTAGGAAAGCCTTGTTCGTGTTTTCCTATAATTCGTTTTGCGCGAGTCCGGCGTCACGAAAACCAGATTGACAGCACCGCCGTTAGCCAACATCGCCGTTAGCGTGGCCTTGGACCTCGCTGTGAGCACCCTCTGGCGAAACGCTACCAGGGACACTGCAACGCCCGGTGTTGGCGTTTTTCGCGCCGCGGGGAGGTGGGGGGAGGCCTCGTGCTGAGCCTCTCCGGCGGCGTGGACAGCATGGTCACCTGCTGCCTGCTGTGGCTCCTGCAGGTCTGCCGGCGCGCCTTCGCTTCTTTATCCCCTGGCGCGCAACCGTGTCCCAGGACATCGGTTCAAGCGTCGTGACATCCAACGGCGTGAACCAAGTCACCACGGAGGCTTTTCGTCGTCTTCGGCCTCCAGGGGCCCTCGCCTGGCCTCGGGACCGTCGCAAAACGACGCGCGACGAAAAGCCGGCAATGAGGAAGGGGTCGGGACTTCTGGGGAGGGGGGGGTGAACCGGTAGATTTAAGGTTGGCATGTCCTTCTACAGGGGGAATGTTCAAAAATAGTTAGGAAATAGTTTGGGGACGATTTCGTACTGTTTCTGACATTTGCTTGGACTGTTTTCAATTTTTCGTCCAAGCTCCGCCTGTAGGAGGACATGCCCGACCTCACGGTAGATGCCCAGGCCGAACTCACCCTTCGTGGTGGTGCTCGCGCGCATACTATGGCGACCGCAGCGCACGCCCGCCCCGACGTGCCCTATAGCCCGCCCGAGCGTTATCGTTACCTGGGGTCTCCTCCCTCTGGTTGACAACCGCTACTTTAAACAGTGTTCGCCAGCGTGGACCCCAAAGAGAGCGTTCCGAGACACAAATGTTTTGCAATCTCTGAGGAGCAATCCATGTAGTGCAATCAGTGTTGCGCACTCTATGTTGTACAACCTATGTTTTGCAACGTATGCAATTCAGTACAAGGGGTGATATCATGGGTTGTACAATCTATGTGGAACAATGTAGGTTGTGAAATCTATGCGGCGCAATCTATGGTGTGCAATTGATTTCTACCAATGATCTGACACATCCTATGCTCTTGCAAGCATCCCACCCACCCACCCGCAACTTGTTTTGCAAAACCTCTTAAGATCGACTACGACGACTCCGACGACAACGACTACGACGACACCGACGACGTCTCCGACGACTTCGACGACGACGACAACGACGATGACGACGACAACAACGACGACACCGACGACGACGACGACGACGCCGACGCCGACGACGACGACGATGACGACGCCGACGACGACAATGACGACGCCGACGACGAACACGACGTCGACGACGACGACGACACCGACGACGACGACGACCCCGACGCCGACGCCGACGACGACGACGACGTCGACGACAACGACGACGCCGACGACGACGACGACGTCGACGACGACGACGACGACGGCGGCGGCGACGACGATGCCGACGTCGACGACGACGAAGACGACGACGACGACGCCGACGCCGACGCCGACGACGACGACGACGTCGCCAACAAAGACGACGACGACGACGACGAGGGAAGGCGACACCGACGACGGCGACAACGACGACAACGACGAGGGAGGAGGGAGGACGGCGACGACGCGAACGACGAAGAAGGAGGAAGGACGGCGACGCCGACGACGACAACGACGAGGGGGGAGCGAGGACGACGACGGCGACAACGACGACGACGGCGACGAAATAGGAGGGACGGCGACGAGACGCCGACGATGGACGACGACGACGACGAGGGAGGAGGAGGAAGGACGACCACGGCGACAACGACGACGGAAACGACCACGACGCCAAAGAGGACGACGACGACAAACACGAGGAAAGACAGAGGGCGACGTAGGCGACGACGACGACGACGCGGGAGGAGGGAGGACGGCGACGACGACGACGACGACGCAAGAGCGCGCGCGCACGCCCTTGTTGAAAATCCGTGTTGCGAAACCTTGTGTTTTTGGAGTTTTTTTGGACACGATTTTGAAATCCTTTCGAAACCGATGGGCTTTGAAGGATTTGGGCATACGCGCGCGACGACGGGCGCGTCTGCACTTCGTCCCGTTTTTTGCAGAGGATTCTCGCGACGGCACACGCGCAAGGGCGTTCGACAGATTTGGACACGCGCGCGCGCGAAGCCCGTTTGGTAGCATTTGGTGAAAATCTTGAAAACCTATGGTTTTCTTAAGATTTCGCAAGAGCTCGCGCGTAAGCTTTTTTAGCAAATCAGTGTTGCGAAACCCGGTGTTGTTGTATGTTGTTTTGGAAACTCGTTTGCGAAACCCTTCCGAAACCGAAGGTTTTTGCAGGATTTCGGCATGCGCGCGCGACGACTCGCGCGTGTGCACTGCGTCCCGTTTTTTGCAAGGGATTCGCGAAAAAGTGTTATGTTAGAACAAAATGTTCCCGCGTATTGTTTTTTTACAAGGGAACCTCAGGGGGACCGATACCGGTTTCATTTTGACATTGTAAATACATATCTAGGATGGACACGTGGTCATAATCAGATATGATTTGCATACCCGAAAGGGGGGCGGTGAACGCCGGGGGTGGTGGTAGAGTCTATTGTCTTTTTAGAAAGGAGAATTAATTTCTGTTCGCAGTGAGTTGTCCACCTCCACTGCTCGCGCAAACATCCCACCCAACACCCGCAATTTGTTTTGCAAAATCTCTTAAGACCGTGACGGTGGGTACCACATGGCACTTGGCAACGACAGCGACGCCGACGACGACACCGACAACGACGACGACGCCGCCGACAACGACTACGACGACACCGACGACGTCTCCAACGACTTCGACGACGCCGACAACGACGACGACGACACCGACGACGACAACGACGACGCCGACGCCGACGACGACGATGACAACGACGACGACTATGACGACGCCGACGACGACGACAACGACGACACCGACGACGACGACGACGACGTCAACGACGCCGACGACGACAACGGCGACGACGACGACGACGGCGGCGACGAAGACGACGCCGACGTCGACGACGACGAAGACGATGACGCCGACGCCCACGACGACGACGATGACGACGACGACGTCGCCAACGAAGGCGACGACGAGGGAGGAGCGAGGACGACGACGGCGACAACGACGACAGCGACGACAACGACGAGGGAGGAGGGAGGACGGCGACGACGCGAACGACGAAGAAGGAGGAAGGACGGCGACGCCGACGACGACAACGCCGAGGGAGGAGGGAAGACGACGACGACAACGACGACGACGACGACGACGGCGACGAAATAGGAGGGACGACGACGAGACGCCGACGACGGACGACGACGACGACGAGGGAGGAGGAGGAAGGACGACCACGGCGACAACGACGACGGAAACGACCACGACGCCAAAGAGGACGACGACGACGAACACGAGGAAAGACAGAGGACGACGTAGGCGACGACGACGACGACGCGGGAGGAGGGAGGACGGCGACGACGACGACGACGACGACGACGCAAGAGCGCGCGCGCACGCCCTTGTTGAAAATCCGTGTTGCAAAACCTTGTGTTTTTGTATCTTCTTTGGGCACACGATTTTGAAATCCTTCCGAAGCCGATGGGTTTGAAGGATTTCGGCGTACGCGCGCGACGACGCGCGCGTCTGCTCGTCCCGTTTTTTGCAAAGGATTCTCGCGACGGCACACTCGCAAAGGCGTTCGACAGATTTCGACATGCGCGCGCGCGCGAAGCCCGTTTGGTAGCATTTTGTGAAAATCATGAAAATGCTATGGTTTTCCGAAGATTTCACAAGAGCTCGCGCGTAAGCTTTTTTTAGCACATCCGTGTTGCGAAACCGTGTGTTTTTGTATGTTTTTTTTGCAACTTGTTTGCGAAATCCTTCCGACACCGATGGTTTTTGGAGGATTTCAGCATGCGCGCGCGACGACGCGCGCGTGTGCACTTCGTCCCGTTTTTTTGCAAGGGATTCGTGGAAAAGTGTTATGTTAGAACAAAAGATGTCCCCGCGTATCTTTTTTACTATGTCTTCTTCTTCTTCTTCTTCTCCTTCTTCTTCTTCTTTTTCTTCTTCTTATATTATATATATATTACTTTCGTTATGTATCAAACAAACCAAGGGGACCTCAGGGGGACGGATCCCGGTTCCCCTGGGATAGTGTAAATTCATATTTAGGATGGACATGTGGTCAGAATCATATTTGATCTACATACCCGAAAAAGGGGGGCGGATAACGCCGGGGGGGGGGGGTAGAGTCTATTCCTTTTGTAGAGAGGAGAATCTATGGTGTGCAATTGATTAAAAAAAACGAGTTGACACATCCCACGCTCTTGCAAACGTCCCACCCACCCACCCGCAACTTGGCTCGCAAAACCCATGTGGTGACGATTGCGATGAGTGTTGAGAGTTAGCTGGCCCATCTCTGCGGCCGCGCCGACCCACACGCGCGCGTGCGCAGCGGCCAGCTAGTTTGGCGCGACCGACGCGGCCGCGGTGGCGCTGAATGCTGGGCACATCCCAGCTGGGCGACGACACCGACGACGTCTCCAACGACTTCTACGCCGACAACGACGACGACGACACGGACGACGACGACGCCGACGCCGACGACGACGACGACGACGATGACAACGACGACGATGACGACGCCGACGACGACGACAACGACGACACCGACGACGACGACGACGTCAACGACGCCTACGACGACGACGACGAAGACGACGACGACGGCGCCGACGCCCACGACGACGAAGACGACGACAACGTCTCCAACGAAGACGACGACGAGGGAGGTGGGAGGACGACGACGGCGACAACGACGACAGCGACGACAACGACGAGGGAGGAGGGAGGACGGCGACGACGCGAACGACGAAGAAGGAGGAAAGACGGCGACGCCGACGACGACAACGCCGAGGGAGGAGGGGAGACGACGACGACAACGACGTCGACGACGACGGCGACGAAATAGGAGAGACGACGACGAGACGCCGACGACGGACGACGACGACGACGAGGGAGGAGTAGAAAGGACGACCACGGCGACAACGACGACGGAAACGACCACGACGCCAAAGAGGACGACGACGACGAACACGAGGAAAGACAAGTGACGAAGTAGGCGACGACGACGCGGGAGGGAGGACGGCGACGCCGACGACGACGACGACGCAAGAGCGCGCGCGCACGCTTTTGTTGAAAATCCGTGTTGCGAAACCTTGTGTTTTCGTATGTTACTTGGACACACGA